AAAAACAGAAGTATGGCATGACTAGTAACTTACAAAAATTATGTGTAAAAGATCTAATGAAGTGTACGTGTCAAACTAATTTTCTGACATGTAAGATAATTTAGATTTGTTCTAATGAGTGACTTGCGATTAATGACTGATGTATTAAAACATCACCTTTAGTTTTCTTTTAAAACTGCTTTAAAATAACCCAACCATTCCTTAAACTACAATTGGCTCGCAGAAATAATTAAGACATTCCTTTTTCTATTCTTTCACTAGATTTACCCGCTCTAAACTTTCAATCAGCACTCTGACTCTTTAGTTTTCACACAAATTGCCTTATTATGGAAATTCTGGGTTGAAAAGTGGGATTTTTCAGCTTAATTTGAAAACTGAGAGAAGCAAGCAAATTCAGGGATAATGGCGGTTAATATGAGAAAGTACTTTGGAGTGTTTTAGAAGTAAAGCGAGGTAAAAATGGAAGGTTAAGTGGGATTAGGAATAAAGAGGCAGGGAAGCTAAAGAAAGAGACTAGGGGATGAGACGAAACAGTAGAGAGTGGTGTGCAGAAGACAGAGACAGAAGGAGTGTTTGGCGCTGCAGAGCATACATTAGTAAGAGGAAGTGTTTACAAAAGGGGAATTCACTCTAAAAGTAAAATGAGTGACGACGGGTAAAGAAATCAAAAGATAACAAGTTAGCAGCACTAGAGGAAGCAGACCTATGGAAAGGATGAAGAGAGAAGATATATTTGTTAAAAGATTTAGGGACAGTGCATGTTTGAAACAAAAACGTCGAAGAAAAGGATGATGTTGAAGAGGGATGGAGGATCCTTTTTTTTGAAAGCTGAGGGGATAGATGAATGGACTAAACGATGGCAGGAATGTGAAAGAAGTTGTAAGCGAGGGAGTCCGAGGGCAAGAAGAGGCTAAGTGGATGTTTTGGAATAATTAAACAAATGAGATGAGGAACAAGTTAGACTAAAATGTAGTGAAAATTAGGCAGGAGGGGTTTAAGTGAATGTTTGGAGGGAAAGGGGTAAATTAGACTAAGAAAAGGAGATGGAGAATAACCAGAACGGGGGATAAACGGAACTGAGATAATGGGAGTAGAGAATGTGAAGAGGAATAAAAGAAAGGAATGAGAAGTGGTTTTGGGGGGGGGGGGACAAGTGAGGGGGAGCAATACTAGAGAGGGCCCAGAGAGTGTGTGTTTTCCGGACTCGAAGCCCTGGACTCAGCCTGGCTAATAAGGGAAAGCTCTCAAGAGGCACTCGCCTGTTCCATCCCTTCCTCCCCTTGCTCTCTCTCCTACAATAAACCCTTTCTGGGTCTCCATTCACCCCGTTGCACTCTCTTCCTTTCATTTATGATTTCCGCCTCTCGTATTTGCACAAGTAGTCCTCAATGAAAAATAAATTCCATGCAAAGGACATCCGCCAGGGATGGAGCACGTACACGCTGAAAGGACACATGCTTTTCAGGCTTTTAAAAAGGACACACAAACAGATGCAACAGACAAAAAGTTTCCAGCCGGAACCACATTATGCTCAAACGCAGGAATATCTTTGTGCATCTTTTTGTTGTTGTCACATCACACATATAGATGTTTTTCTCTATCTTAAACCTTTTTTGTATTTAGTCAAGATTATGGAAAAAATCTTTATATTATGACCATGGTTCCTATATAATGGCTTGCATATTTGTATCCACAGTTAATAATCTTAAAATTATTTTCACCACATTTTCTTTAAAGAAAACATTAAAACTCTGTTTAGGTATAAAGGTTATGGTAACTATTTTTAGAGGGTTTGGTGCACTTATTATGTTTGATAGGATGACATTATTCTGGTTAAGGCTATGGTGAAGTCTATCAAAGACTTTACTGGCTCCACATGGCTGGCGAATATATAATAATAATAATAATAATAATAAAATAGTAATAATGATAATTTATCCTTTATTAATCCCACGAGGGGAAATTCAGTTTTCCACTCTGTTAGTAACATGCTACACACACATGCACAAACAGGATCTTAATAACTTGCATTAATGGAGAGGTGTCAGAGTGAGGGGCTGCACACAGCGAGCGCTCCAGAGCAGTTTTGGGGTTCGGTGCCTTGCTCAAGTGCATCTCGACCCTCCAATTCCCAACCTAAGTCCCTACAGACTGAGCTTCTGCCGCCCCATACTATACGGATAACAGCAGAGAAAATCTAACAGAGAAACGAGTCCATGTGAGGTAAAGGTCAGCTTGGGTTACTAATATTCTTCTGGAGTTATAAGAGAGAATCTCAGTCAAAGTCAATTCATGTGCATAACTGATATTAGAGCTTTAAGTTTCACTGTTAACATTGGGAAGAAATGCAATATATCGGTATGCTAAAACTTTAGAGAAAGCTGATCTGCCAAGGTCAGACTTCTACCCCTTCAATACCTGCACTCCCAATTTTTGTTTAGAAATGTATAACAACCTGATAAGGGGTCTGTTATAACCTGTTGTTTGATTCTGTCTTTATTGTCCTCAGAAATCCCCTCTCACTTACTGTAATTAGTCCAGTAACCCTACTGGTTGTTGTTCAAAGATGAAGGTTTGTGAATGTCTTAGAGACCAAAAGAACTATGATTAGTCATCCTGGACTGCCTGTGTTTTTTTTTCTAGCAAATTGCTGATGCAAGCATGGTTTGAATTCTGCAGCTCCAAACTCTTTCTGGGGTGGATGTAGAGTTAAATGGGACTGAAGAGTGTATAATTAGTAAGTTTATGATTTGGCAGCACGAGGCATACTGAAGATATAGCAATATATTGTCATATCTTTATGACTGCCTGTTTTATAGGCCTCTGTAATTTGTGCTTAAGCTAGCATTATTAACTTGCGTTTTTGCATTGGTTTAAGTTTTTCACTGGAGTCAGGAAGTGAAGATAGAACACTTTAACTGTTCCTGCAGTTTCAGCTTTAAAGACAAATATTTGTTTGGCAATTTAAAGTAAATTTCATTAAAAAAAAATTAAGAATACTATCAATATCAATTAACATAATAATGTAAGACAGACTGTAAGATAATCTCATTGGAGGAGGGATGTTTGTAGTGTCTAATTTCACTGTGGAAGCCAAATTTATATATATATATGTATTTAACACAGTTAACCATTGTATCACAGCATCTGCAGGTAAACAGTATCAAATTGGTTTATGGAGCGTGGCTAACATTAGCAGTGCTAACTTCTCCAGCCTTGCATGAAAACATCCACATGCTTGTGCTGGTTATACATCGCTACAGTTAAGTGGTTCTATTCCGGTCTAACCTTACACAGCGTGGATGCGACTTCATCTCCATTTTCTAGATCACAATACTTCTAAACCGCTCTGCGCTATACGAGATTTCATCAGTTCACTGTGCTAGTTTGCATCATGGTAGTAGAGCATTACGGCAGTAGCCATTAACCTGAGCTACAGCCCATGCTAGTGGCAGATGGCAGAAGTTCTGTATTGATAGACAGCGTTAAACTGTTCAGTTGTCAAATCACGGAAGTTCCTACTTTTGAGTCGTGTACATTTGGCAGGTCATCTCAACTACAGCCCGTGAATTTGCTCCAATGGTCATTTTGTACGAAAGTCTAAGCAGATGTGTCAACAGGCCATGGCTAGGACCAAATCTCCTCTTCAGTATTTAGAATTACAGCGAGAAATATGAGTAGAAAAATTCATGTGAGTAACAATTCATGTAACGTTCACTTTATCTTTCTGTCTCTTCTTTTTTTTGGTCTGCTTGTCGTTGTTGTTTTGTTCTTATTATAACTCAAAAATAGAAAAATGTGTTATAAACTTGAATATAACAGCGATCTATGGATCAACATGCTGCGTGCTGTATGTGTTTGTTTCTGGACAGCCGTTCAACCGTTGTGTCAACTATTTATCCAGCTTCAGAGGGATGTCATTCGCAGCTATTGTGGTTGGCAGAGGCATCAGGCAAATAGGCCTCCTGCCACACAAACACACACACACACACACACACACACACACACACACACACACACACACACGACTGTCAAAGTCAAAGGGGAGTTTTGAGCCAGACAGCCTGCCTACGTAATTGTTATGCCAGCCAGTTTACCACCTGTAGCGCTTCCCTTCTCTCTGTCTGACACACACACACACACACACACTCATAAAAGCCTTGTCTAGATAATGATATGCCAGACAATTTTCAACCTGGACAACACACACACACACACACACACACACACACACACACACACACACACACACACACACAAACTGATTGTGATGATGATAGTATGCCAGCCTCCCATGCCACTGTGAGTGTCTCTTGCTCACACGGGCATTCAGACAGCTCGTCTGATTGATGTCATGGCAGTCGATAGACCGCTAATTACTCCCCATGCTTAGACGCCGCCGTGTAAGGAGCAGTGTCATATCCTGTCAGCTACATTTTAAAAACATGTCACTTCCTGTTAGTCTGTAGAGTAAAAGAGAGGAACAGAGCAACCTGACAGCACATCCACTGCTCACACAACCACACTGTATTACTTCTTTTTCTTCAGTCCCACTCTCTCATTTCACCTCTCTCTCGCTCTCTCTCTCTCTCTCTCTCTCTCTCTCTCTCTCTCTTTTTTCTGGCCCCTTCCTTTTTTTTTTTTTCTCTCCCTCTGACCCACCTGCCAGCTTCGGTGATCTTTTGTTGTCAAACTTCATTAGCAGAGACATGAGCTAATTAGAGCCCAGCACAAGCTTTGGAGATTAGGAGGAGGAAGATGATGAAGAGCGAGACGAGGGAGATACGGAGGGTGGGGAAGAGGGGAGAGGGAGGCACGGCAGAGGAGACGGGAGATGAGCAGATGATGAAGAGATTAAGATGGAGTGGGAGGGGAAGGAGAGATGGATGGTGTGAAGGTAGGGATGGAAATGACAGGGAAGATGATTACCTGCATAAACTGTGGAGGGGAGAACGAGGGAAAGGGAGTGAGAAAAGGATGAATGGGGATAGATTGCAAAGACAGGTTGACAGACTTGTGAATACTTACTGATCTAAATGAGTGACCATGAAGAAAATGTGAAAAGAAAATTGAGTTTATCACAGAGACGTCAAACTGTCTAAATATATGATCTAGCTTATATCCATATCAACACAGGAAGCACACCACTAACATTGATTAAGCTGTTTCTTTGCTAGCAGCAGCATTGTGTGTGTGTGTGTGTGTGTGTGTGTGTGTGTGTGTCTATTAGTGATGGCAAGCAGCGGAGTGAAGCAGAGATACACGATACAGGGAGAGGGAGAGATAAAGCATTGACCTGTGTCTGTTTGTTGTGATCTAGTTTATCCTTGTAAGACACAGCTGATAACGACACTCTACTCTACAAGTAGACACCAGAAGAACACACAGACCACAACACAATTGAGGACTTGCTTAGAGACAAAGAGATTTACAACTCCCCTCGTCATCGTATGTCAACAGTAAACTAGATTTTGTCTATTCTGCTTCCTCTGAAGTATTGACTATGGGTTTTTGCTCTCATTGTCAAGTCAAACCAGCTTTAGGTCGTACAAAGAGCACGGTTCCAGTATTGTCCATATAAGACGCAAATCCCTGAATCCGTTTCAACCAGCAGTCTCCAACCTTTCTTCATTTGAGAGCTACTTTAACAAAAAAATAAGATGGTGTGGCTGAGAGCTACTTCCGTCATATTGCTTGTTTAGTCACATAATGTATCAAAACAGAAGAACCAGCTCAATGAATCTACTTCTTGTATACATTTGTCATATGTCAATACACATATGGGCGGCTGTGGCTCAGTTGGTAGAGTCAGTCATCTCCCAACCAGGAGTTTGGGGCATCGATCCACAGCTCCTGCAGCAACATGTCCGAATTTTCCTTTGGTAAGAAACTTAAACCCCAAGCTGCTGCCCGCTGTGTTCAATGGGATGAGTTAATACTGATGGCCACTTTACATAGCAGCCTCCGCCATCAGTGTGTGAAAGTGTAAGTGTACGTGCTTTGAGCAGCCAGAAGACTAGAAAAGCACTATCCAAGCTCAAGTCCATTCATTATTTACCATTTACAAAGCTTACAAATACAGAGGCTTTCTTGCAACTGTGTTAGCATAACACCAAACTGTACATCAGCAATAGCAGACATAATTTCACTCTCCGCTGGTCAGTATATTTTGCAAAACAGTAGCTCAGTCCTGGTTGTTAGAGAGGTGACAGTTCACTTCCTGAGTACTGCTGAGGTGCCCTTGAGCAAGGAACCAAAACCCCCCTACAGCTCAGACCCCTGTGTGCAGCCCCCACACTCTGATATCTCTCCATTAACACACATCCATATTTCATTTTTCTGCATTTTTTTATATATATCATTCCTATGTGTGTGAGTAGCATGTCTCTCATTAACAGAGAGCAAACCCAAATTTCCCCTCGGGGGAAGTACCGGTATATAAAAAAGTAATAAATTAATAAAATGGAATAATATGTCTTGATGCATATCCAGGTTTATTGGATTTTGTCTAACATGGTTCTGCATAGCTTATGGGCCGACATCTCAGCTGTATGCTTACTGTATGAAGTGCTTCTAAAATTAAAAAAAATCCAATACTTGACATACAAGAGATACAAACATGTACATTTAAATGTCAAATGTTTAGACTTTTCAAAGAACCCTTTCAGATGTTTGAGAATATGGTTTTCAATTGATTGTTGGTTTGTGTGGGAATCACATGAAAGAGTTATTCCCATCTACAATTATAGTCAACCAGGCCAGCGGCTTAGCCGTTGTCCTGCCAACAAACAGACAGATGCAGAGAAATATAGCCTTCTTTGAGAGATTTATTAATGTTGAGATGGTTGAAATACACTCTGAATCATGGTTATTGTAATATAGCAGTTAGAATTTTTATTTCTCATGAATTGAATCAACTTCTAATATAATTCAGTAATTTATGCAAATGTTACATTCAATATTTTTTCCGGGGATTCTGCTTTATTATCTCTCATTTCAATAGGAAAGCAATGTTCCTTTCATGTTTCATTGGAAAGGGTAAGACAGTTATCTGTGACATTTTATCTGTGACCGTCTTTGTCTGCTGCATTGATCAGCATCAGCAGGGTTCAAAGACTCAAATGTCCCACTTGCCCTGAAAGGGTAAAGGAACTATTTCTATACGGTGTGCATCATCTCTTAAGCTTTCAAATCAATTGCAGTTTTCCATTTTCAAGATTATTGATTTTTCTAAATGGCTATCAAGACTTAGCGTGTGTGCTAATGAAAGGAAATCCAACTTCTTCACTCTGTTCTGAAGGTCAACAGCTCTGCTGGTTGGTTGGTTGTATTTTTGATCCTTTTATTGTCTTTTTTTCCTCCAAGAAGGCCGGACCGGCGCTCACTTCAGCACTAATACAAAAACAAATATTTTCCACACGTGCACAACTGAAAATTTCAGGACAGGCTGCCCGTGAAATCCTCCTGAGTTGCCTGTTTGAATATTCACCTTACAGCCGGAGACTTTCAGTGTCAATGGTGGGGTGGGGACAGCATTCTCTCTAGGCAGGACATGGCATAAGATGATGTGGAAATGAAAGACAAAGCAACAGTGTCCAAAGCTACCATGACAGTTTTTGCCTTTATATCAATGCTACTTGAGTATGGAGCAGCTTCACACACACTGGCTGCTCACTGGTTGCTCACTGGTTGCTCACTGGTTGCTCACTGGTTGCTCACTGGTTGCTCACTGGTTGCGTGAGTTAGAAGACATTACCCCTGCCCTCTTTCTTGCTGTGAAATTCTCTGAATATCACATTACGTTCACACAGTTCCCCCGTACTTCATGAGTACGGGGGAAGCTCTTCAAACTTCTGTTTGAAGTTTGAAGAGCACTTCAAACTTTGTTTTTCTCCCGCATTTATTAAATTTCTCTTGTCTATCTTTGTAAACAACCATTTTTAGATTCATGGAAAAACCCTTCCTATCATCAGATGGACATGAAATCACACCGTCTTTACCTTTACCTTCATGTTTTGACACTGTCCTTGATTTTCCCTCATCACCCGGCATGTTTGTTGTAAATTATTGATGTTCTTATTAAGTTGAGCTTAAAGTGAATCAGGCTGCTAATGCCTTTTCAAGGTATGTACAGTTAATGTAGGCATTAAGGTTTAAATAAATAATGCATCTCCCAGAGAATTGTAACTTAGGCACTGTTTATTTTTTTTCTAAATGGATTGTGTTTGTGCAGGACTTGACATCTCTCATTAAGTCATTAAATATGAATGGTAAATGTAGCTGACCTTTGATACATGCAACATTTATATTGGATTCCTGACTGTTTACTCTGTTAATCTTTTAGATGATATTTTTTTTTTTTGGGGGGGGGAATCGCATACCTGTTTAAAAAAAGGGCCAGCTAACAAAGTGTATGGCTGTTACTTTAAGAAAAAAAGCACATCTTTTATAACCAGGCGTGTAAATATTTATAGGCTTTAATGACAAGAACATATGACTTCAGTGCAAACATTGATATATTTAAGGCAGAGCTCACCATGTTATTAATGGGACAGAAGTCTTAATTATTAATAGCAGTATTATTAACAGCTATGCCACGTTTCCGATTCGGATTTTAAACATTTATAGAATTATTATTGGTATGACAGAGCAAGAGCGGAAGATTGATCTCCTCGGGCCTATGTGTGTATTGTGTCTGTGTGTGTGTGTGTGTGTTGTGTGTGTGTGTGTGTGACTGTAAAGGAGGAAGGAGACTTTTTCCAGACTAAATCTCAGGCCAATTCGTTATTTTAGAACGGCTTTTAACTTCCAGACTTTAAATTCAATAATATGCTACACAGTGAAAACCATAATCACTTTATGCTGGTGTGAGATTCACGGAATGACATAAAGGAATGATTTCCCTTGCAAATATATTTTAGGGACGGAGCCATTAAGTGTGTCGCACTCAAGCACAGAGCAAAGCTGTGCATTTCCGTATTTACCACACAAACTAATCCTAATGTTGTTTCACGACCACAAGGTGGTTCAAAAGTGACGGCATATAAAGCTAATCAATAGCTTTGTCAGTGAGGGGTTATGGGGAAAATTTGCATAAATGCGAGTTGATGTTTGTGTGAGCGTTTTGATCTGTCTTTGTTTATCATATTTATTCCTTCTTGAGCCTGCCCTCTGCCTTTTATGTGCAGTCATACATCATTGAAAGTGCCCTTTGTGTGTGTGTGTGTGTGGTTACTTGCCTGTTTGCGCTTCCTTCTATGTGTTTGTTTATATGTGTGCATATGTCTGTGGACAGAAAATGAATGTTGGGTACGTTTTTACCCCCCTGCTTTCCCAGGCCCTCAGTCAATTTAGTGATGCAGAGGGTGAAAAAAAAAATGTTCTACTGGAATGCATAAACATTGAAGAGGACACGGAAATAAACAAACAAATACAGAAAGATAGAATAGCACGGAAAAATACCTCGACGTGTTTGATCTTCAACCACGTTTGTTTCCAGTTTCAGGATAAAGGCATTTCATTTGATTCATTTGTGCCTTTCTTTATTGATTGATTGGATGAAGAGTTCAGAAACCTCCAGAAACACTTTTTGTATGAAGGTTAATCTTCTTAACGTTTTGACTTGTGGCCTTCAACGGGGTCCTCCTCCTCACTCTCCATGCAGCCTGGTAGTTGGTGAAGTTGTGCAAGGAAAACCCTACTACTACTGCTTATAATAATAATACAATTTGCCTTTCAAAGCACTCAAGGTCACCTGACAAAGCAGAGATAAAAACTCTAAAGTATCAATACATTGCTAAAATTAACATTAAAATGACAAATGTACAGTGTATGAAATCCTTGTGAAAAGGAGGGATAATGATCCAACAGAATTTGCCAGTTTAGAAAGGTGTGTTTTGATGATGAGCTTTAAATTTAGAGAGAGACAATACTACAGATGTCTGGTGGGAGGGGTTTCGAGAGGCGAGCGGCTGAAGGTTCTGGACCCCATGGTGGTGCAGGTAGTTGAATGAGAGGACCTGCGAGTGCGAGTGGGTGTGTTGATGTGCAGGAGTTCAGAGAGGTACAGCGGAGCGAGGTCTTGGATGGCCTTAAAGGTGAGGAGCGGAATCTTGAAGTCAGTGTGATATTTAACCCGTTAGCCGACTCTCATCCAATCAACTCTGCGTATCCAGTTGATTGGATGAAGTACAAGATTTCTGCATCTTTTTTTTTTTTTCTTTTTTTGACTCTTTGCCAAAATATAATTCACCCACACGTTGAATTGACTTTAACAAAAGCAACAGCATGGTGAGCTCTTGATGTAGAATATGTTGTTGAGAAATTATTTTGAGAGACATTGAGCGGCTTAACTCTCACTTTTAAATCTGGAACTGATTACCATGAGTACATAAATCGTAAGGGTTGGTCGAAGGGTTAAAGCAAGCACAGAGGGAATGTGTGGGATGGAAATCAATGGCCAATAAATATCTGTGTTTATCTCTATTTATTCCATGCCCTTTGAATGAGCTCACAGCTTGCCTAAGGCAGTTGTCCACTTTCAACATCTGATAGTATTTGAGTCCCCATGGTTACGAGTTACGTGGTACTGAAAATGATATTTTTAAACATGTTCTTTTTTTATTGAAACATTCAAATTGACCAGAATAGAAATAGGATAATGAAAAAAGTCAAGTTAAAAAAGGGATTTAACTCTATCAAGAAGTTCTGTCACCTTCTTATTAAAGTCCATGTCAAGTGTAGTTTTATTCGCACAGTCGATGTTTTGATTTGCTGCTGGCAAAAAACCTGGGAATGAAATAAGTACCTGCCAGCTGTCTGACAAAGGCCGAATGGAAGAACTGCTAATCTACCACCTTGGCAGACGTGTTTAGACATACTGCATTAAAACATTTATTTAGGGATTAAGGTTACATGTCATGTTCCATATTGTCAGGTAGCAGTGATCAGCTCCTTTTAACGGCTTCTATTGAGCCTTCTATTTAATGTTTTCACTGCTTTTAATCTGTAATGCTTTAGCAGTTTTTATTATTTATTTAAATCATAGCCTATATGGTAAATGGACTTGAGCTTGCATGACGCTTTTCTAGTCTTCTGACTACTCGAAGCGCTTTTACACCACAGATCACACCTACACATTCACACACTGATGACAGAGGCTGCTATGTAGTTCAAACATCATCACTGTGAGATGTCTTGTCTGTCAATTTCCAGACGTGTTTTTGTGGCTTCGGGTTGGGTGAACTAGACTCTCTTGACACACAGACGTGTGTGAACGCGGACACACTCAATAATTAGTCGGGGAGAAACAATGTTCAGGACACACGCACACACACACACACACACACACACACACACACACACACACTCTCCTAGTTTCACTGAATCAGATATTTTCAAATTTAGAACAAAACCAGTATTCATGTCACATAATGTGTCACATACTGAGCTCTGGTAATGACCCCTCAGAAGGCAAAGTGTTGTTCACAGTCTGCTTTGGAGACAGTGAGAAAGTGTGTTGCTATTTTTTCCCTGACTTTCCATAAATCGCCTGATGATGTGTTGATGCGTTTTTCCTCCTTCCATCAACTCGGTAATGTAATTGCACACTGCGGTTCTACCAGTGCATATGGGTACATACTTAACTTGTACTGTATGACTTGCCATATTTCCATTATGTGTGGGTGTGTGGATACATGTTGATGTGCATTACTCACAAGGGTGCCCAGGGTTCAGTGTTGATACGCTGTGTATTTCTTCTGATGACAGAATGCAAGAATATTCATATGATTGATGTTTTTGTTTTCTTTCCTGTTGAAAGAGAGAAAAAACAAAGATGGAAAAAAAAACTGATCTAGACGTGGGCAGTTGGCAGAACGACCAAAATAGATATTTGTGTGTGCTTTCTTGTGTTCACATGTGTGTGCACAGGAACAGGTGGGTCTCTCTAGTCTTTATTTCTGCAGTCAAACTTCGGCAGGCTTGTGTGGGGTGAATTACTCTTTGAATAAACAGATGTTTTCCATTGAATTGTTCATCGTTGGGACAGCTGGTTGGTGGTGATGTCACTCTGAGTTCTATGTATGTTTTGTTATGTTGATGTGACTCAGGTGGGGGCAACCCAGAACTATGTCTTGTTTCTATGAATCATTGTTCAACATGTCTGATCCTCAATCTCAAAGTGATGATGTGTTTACTCAAATATCTGGACTTGTTATCGTACTTGTGGGGTTTGAAAGTTCTCCATTTTAACAACACTGTGCATGTGTCAAAAGATAATTTGACGCAGTCTCAGATTTGATGTTGGGAATGACTGACATTCCTATTTCTTTGATCAACCTTCTGCTTTTGTTTGTCTGTGTGTATGCAGTGTGGACAGGATCCAGCAGCTAAGGAGAGAATACCAGCAGGCAAGGAGAGAGGGAATTGTGCCACCTTATGAAGAACTGGACCCACGACGCAGAGGACATGAAAATGACGCACACAGGGTGAGGAGCTCAGACACACAGAATATACTCATGAACATTGGAAAAGGAAGTCAGCTGATATGCAAGCTGCCTAGATTACATCATGGAGCCATTATACGATGTGAAGTGTGCGATCTTAAGCGTTGGCACCTGTTAGGGTGTTTCCATGTACCTTTTGCTCGCTAATGGGTGCACAATCTGGGTGCTGCAGAAAGTGAGACGCAGGGCTCAAAGAGGTTGGGATAAGTCCCTTGATTAAACATCTGTTTGCTTTGGGTGTTACATGAATCAGACCTAGGAGAGTCTGTTAGTATGTTGCTAACGGCATACTAGTTGTAAAGTAAGCAGTATGCAGAATATATATTTTGAGTATGTAGTAGGAAGAATGTAGTGTGTGGATTTGGATTTGGACACAGCCCATGTTTTCGGTGGTTTATGGTGCAGTTGTTTTCTGTGTCTAACAAAGCCGCAATTCATTTCCACTAATACAACTTAGGCTCTGGGTGTGAAAATGAAGACTGCATTGGCTGCAAAACCACGGTGACCACTATGTTTGGCGCCGGTTATAATACAGTATAAGGCCAGTAATCTCTTAGTCTGTAGCACTTTCTGTCCTTTCATATGATCAACCTTTCATCAGTCGTTCATCATCAATTTTTCTTACAATGAGATAGCCCAGCGATCTTCCACCTACATCTGTTTTCAGTGCATACTGTGTGTGTACTCAGTATGATCGCTGCTTTTATTGCATTTGTCTCATGATCAAAGCCCTTTAGCTGTCAGTCACGAGGTGCTCTTTGACGTGAATGGCTCCTGTAGGCATTGAGCTGATAGCGCTGATGTGATCCACTTTACACTGAGGATGAGACTCAGAGGAGATAAATAGAGATTTTACTCGCTTGTCAGTTTTTTTTATTTATTTTTTTTATCTCAGAATCCCGTCCTCACAGAGCCTCGTCAAAGTGGCTGAGTCATGCTTTAACAAAGATCAAAATACTGCAATGTCGTCATAACCAGTCGATTGTCCTGTTCTAACAAGAAATGTCTTTCAACACTGGTACCAGGTGTCATACTGCAATGACTATTTGCTGCTGCTGTTCCTTAGAAAACTGAAGAGCTGCTATCATGAATGCATCTTGGTGTGTGTCAGGTTTATTCAGCAACATCTGGATTTTATTTAAATTCTGACAGTGCCATTCAGTGCAGCTGTCCCTCTAACCTCTGCCTTCATGTTTGTGATGTTTGTAATGTGTTTCATCAGGTTGAAGGTCTGGATTGTACACGTTTTATGGGATTTATTGTTACATTGTTATTGGAGCAGATGACAGATGAATTTAATCACATCTTGGAGCCCTAAAAAGGTTTTTGTATCCTTGCACTTGGGTTTCACAGACGCAGATTTTACAAAACACTTTTTATTGTCACTGTACTTTTTAAGTTGGTTAAAAGACCCATCTATAACTAAGTTGATGGTAAATTTAGAATATTACATGCTTATGCGGGACAAGTCTTGATCTGGACTATTTCTTGGGCTCAACACTCAGAGAACTGAGTACAGCTCGTCTTTTGAGCACAAACATAATGCTGTGTTTTTTTCTCATACTGACTTTGAAAGTCAACTTTACTACACCTGCCTTGTCTTGTCAGCATGATATTTAAGCTACCATCTTTAAGAAAATAAGTTACAAAAGTGTTTCCATATTAATTTGCGCTCATAAACAATTTTTATTGAAGCACAGTAGACTGCAGACTTCCCTAGGATCTTAATCCAGAGTCAGAAGTTTCATTTATTAGTTCCTGGGTTCTCTCAGACTTCACATTGGTAGAGTTAAAAAGCAGTTTTAGGGCCTGTGTCCACAAACAGAGCTTTTTTGCACTGGCATCGCTTATTTTCAATACAAAACCATAGTATTTCAGCGTTTTACAACAAGTGCTCACCATGCAAAATAACCCTGTGAGCGCCGTGCTAAAACGCCCATGGCATCAGCTGTTCATTGTCGCAGCACTCATAGCGTTTTAATTTGAAAGAAGCTCAACTTTTAGAACAGCGCCACACTTTGTCAGTGTCATTTCTCCCTCACCGACCAATCAAAATCAAGAAGAGAAAGCACTTCCGATATCGGCTCTATCAACAACAATGGCGGAGGAGGCGCTTCTTTGACTCTTCTTTTTAAGGGAAACATTTTCAGGTCTGAAGCTGCTGCTAATGCCAAGACTTGACTCACACTTTACATATTGTTGCTTATATTCCCTTGAGTTTAAGCAAATACTTAGCACATGGAGCTGGGGCTAAAACACACCTTTAAGACATGACAGAGGGAAGTGAAGTTAACTTCCAAAACCTAGCAACAATATAGCGCTGGTGAGAGGCGCTCTGAAAAGGAGTTTGTGGGCGCAAAAAGCCCTTTATGTGCATGTTCTTTATTGATTTTTTTAGTATTGTTATTATATTGACATCACAGGTTTAATATTTCTCAAGTCTTCTGCCTGGTGGAGATATATATATATATACACTTGGATGTGTGCGTCTTCCAAAGGAGTTTCAGTATTCCAGGCCATGAGTAAATGAGTGAATAAACAACAGTATGTGCTTGTACTCGTGAAAGTACAGTTAATGCAGCAGAACCACGTGCTGCTTGCAGGAGTTCACATACCAAGAATCTATTTCCTAAATGGAATTACAAACTCGCTGCCTAAATGCAAAAAGTGATTTTCTAAGTAACAAGAACATTATGCAACCACAGCATATTATCTCAGCTGGTGGAGTCTGCATGCTACAGTATTACTCAGCAAAAACATTTGCATTCATGAACTTCCACTTAGGAAATGTTAATGTTCTGTGTTTCTGTAGGCTAGCATCAACTGGTGATTGGGATACTTTTCATTATTTAGTTAGTTTTAAATGACCGTCACTAGTAGATGAAAACAAATTTGGACTTAAAACAAGGACGATAGAAGAATCAGTGAAATGGATCAGAGTGGAGATAAAGATAAGGCTCGATCACTCTTTGTCTGAAGGCTTGTGGGGGGGGGGGGGGGGGGGGGGACAGTGATGTGCTGGAGGATCTCAGACTTCATTAATGTAGCTTCACTAACAGGCAACCAGCTACTATTTAGAAATAGACTTTTAAATCAGTTCAAAATCAAAACAACACAAAGAGACTGCATCAGGTTCTGTGTGGATGCATTGTGTTTAGTAAGCAGCCTTAGGCCCTGTTTCCACCTCGCGTTTTGTTTTCTAAGCGCCAGCGTCTTTTTTCAATTGTTTTCAATGAGTAGAGAGAGTTCGCAGCAGAAAACAGCCGCCTGGAGAAAAAGCGCAGCGCCCAGTGTTTTTTTTCTCCCCAGCGCTCTGCCTTTTTGTGCGGCCGCTCCAAGTGCTAGAAGTTGAAAATCTTCCAACTTTTCAGAAAGGCGCTGCTGACATCACCAGCACCCATGTCCAAATGTCCCTGTAGTTTTGCCGTGTCTTGTACCTACATCCTCTTTGCTCCGTGTCTAATCCGGTAACAAAAAAAACAAATCTATCTAATCTATAAAGCATACAGAAAAAAGTAACGGAGCGGTGTCCGTCATATAGCAGCGATTGTCTACAGGCTGTTGTCATAGAGACCGGATGGACGTGCGTTGCTTTTCTTCTAAGCGCAAAAACGCTTCATGCAAACACTCCCCGATTGCACAGCCAGTGCTTGTCTGCCCGGAAATAACGCAAGGTGAACACTTAGATTTCCAGTAGCTTTCCACTTAAAACCTGATGCAGCCTCTACAGTATGTAACCTGTGTGTTTTAGGTTAAAAAATGTATAAAAACATTTTAACACAAACATTTTAGTTTTCTTAGATGTTCACAAGTTAACAGGAACAATAGTTTATTGAAACATCATTACATTTAATTTGGAATTCAGAAAGGTAAGCAGCTCTACCAGCACTCCCCAAGATCAGCTCAATATTTGAAAAATGTAGCAGCCTTCAACCTTCCTGATGAACACAGCATAATAAACTCAGCTTATCAGTCAGCAGTAATGATCACGGGAGATAACGAGCAACACTTTGATAATCAATCAAGCAAAAATATCAATCATTTACTGCTCAGGTGTTCAAGTTTGCTGCTTTCTCTGTTTCTCCCATTATTTTTATTAAGCGGTTTTTCCATTTTTGAAGACATTTAATGGACCAAACAAGAAATCAACCAAATCAAGAGATGATTAATTGATACAGAAATGACTCCCTACAGCTCAACTCATTACGTTGTAATTTAGGGTTCTGGGGTGCACTCAAGTGGTAAAAGTTTTATACAAGAAAATACTCGGATTAACTGTGAATGATTCAGAGGTATATGGCCTTTGTCATCACATCTACACAGTGTGTTTTGTCCAAAGTTGTACCTGGACCGCTTTAAGTCCGATCTTAAAGTCATTTGGTTTATGAGCGGCCGGGGGCAATCTCCTCTCCCCTCCAATCGATAGCCACACATTACACCGCTCTGTGCCTCCAAATGAGAAAACTTTGCTGTTGTTCATAAAGAGGAAAGGGAGAGCAATTAGCATGCTTCAGAGGTGGAAATTAAGTTTGAAGTTTGAGAGCTAAAAAAAGAAAAACATATCAAAAGGAAATCAGACCAGAAGCAATTCCTAAAGTGCTTACCCAGCCCTTCTCATTAAGGATGATGCATTTATTAATTAAAGCCGGAGCGATTATTTACCTGACAGTCTTTCTGTGGAAGGGGAAAGAGGGAAGTAATGGTTATGGAAGCGAGCCGACGGCAAGCTAATTCAATTTGACTTTTTATTGGTTTGTTTGTTTCTCCTTAAGATATTTTTTTCTGTTTTATATAGGATTCGCTGAACGGCTAAGAAAAGTAAAAGCAATGCAAACCTAAGTGCAAGGAGAGAGTGTGGCAGAAAAAAAAGGAGGGAGAGTCCCCCATGAGATGTTGCCACAATATACTGAGTTTGCCCCCCCCCCCTCCATGGCTCCATTACCATCTCATTGATTCATGGTTATGGGTTCGCTGTCTCTGCT